AAAAAAAAAAAAAAACTACCAGAGCTATGAGGTAAGTCACTTTACAACAGAAGGATAAATAACATGGCCAAAAAATTTATTTCAGACCATGCAAAAAAATGTGGAAAAAAACACCCTTCTCCAAAAAATGATCCCCATAGCATAAAACACAAGTCAAACATTAAAAACTTTCAATTCATCCCCTTCAATTTGATTCGAGAACTTCGATTTTTTCACACGAATATCTTGAGCGCGCCTCGTAAATTCTGCACTAGCTCCTTCATCGACATATCCGACTCGCCGTCCTTCTGCATGGGAAAAAAATCATTTAAAATAGGAATGTAATTAATTAGTCCAAACTATAGTTTTTTTTTTTTTCAATTTGTGTGTAATTATCCTTAATAATGATACGTGATTTTCAATTTTCACACACACACACACACACAAACCTGTGCAACAACTGTGATATTGAGAGCTGAATCTCCAAAGCTCATGATACTGCTGTTAACAACTGATAAATGGAGTTTCTCAATCTCAGCCACCGTCTTTTCAAGAACCCCTTTTCTCTTCCCACAGTGGATGCTGATTAGGACATCTCGGTGGCAAAACCGGGCCTCGATCTCCGGGAATGATTCTGTGGTCGTTGGCCCGCTCGAGATGCTCTGCTCGTCCGTGGTCGAGTTCTCGCTGCTGCTGTGGGCCGCGCACGTGACTTCGTATTTTCTCACCAAAACCATGGACTCTATTGTACTCTTCTTTCTGGTTTGCTCCTCAAGGGCCTTCACTTTTTCTTGGAGTTGTTTTATGTGGTTGATTGCATCACCAAGAACAGAGGCTTTGTCCATCTAAAATGAATTTAAATAAAAAATAATCAAGTAAAAAACAAACAAAATTTGATCAATTTAAGGAATTTACAAGGATCTTGGATTCTTGATCAATAAAGCAATTAATTAACCTTAAAGGAACAAACTTTATTAGGCATATGCATGTCACATGTGCTTAACAAATAAAACAACAAAAGGAATCTTCAAAGCAAGAATTGCTCCAAAATACATGGAGAGAAGCTGATTGGTTTAAATAAGTTAACAAAAAAATCTGATTTTTTGAGCCAAAAAAAAAAAAAAAGAATAATAAGATTTACAGTTTACCTTTTTCAAACCAGGAACAAGAGTGGCCAGTGTAATAAATCTCTGGCTAAGCTTCTCCCTCCTTTTCCTCTCAGCCATAATATGATCCTGTGGAAGCCGGCTGCCGTTAGCTCCTGTGCTCGCCCTCTTCAGCACGTGATTTTGGCTCCCGGTCGAGATAACCGACTCGGGAGAAGAGAAGTTGAGGGCCCCACCCGAAGAATTATACCAAGTTTCCTCTTTCGGTTTCACGAGCCCTGAGTTGACCAAATTAACACTATCCGAAGGGGGAGAGCACGAAAAACGGTCATCTTTCGCGATTTTGAGCTGTTTTGATGGTCTAACGTTGCTATAGTCGAAGTCGAGCACCGGTTGATGGGAGCTCATCGTGTTATTATTATTATTATCATAATAATAAGATTGATTAGTGTCGATATTATAGCCTTCGGAAAACGTTGAATTCGTAGAGATGGAGCTAAGGTCGCCGATGGAGTCGACATGAGGCCATTGCTGCATGAGAAAAGGGTCTCCCATTCCCTGTGTAAATACACCAAATAATGTTAATCTTTTTTTCTAATGTACCTTTAAACAATAATCAACAAAAAAGAAGCAAAATCAAATAAAGGAAATGAATACAAATCTTTACCAAATCAGCTAAGCATTTGAAGCTAGAAATCTCCATGAAAAATCTGATATATATGATGATTCTCCAAGGATTTCAAAGAAAAAAATAAAGTATGTTTTTTTTGAATAAATTCACAAGTTCCTGTTTTTCTAGCAATTAAAGTGGAGAACCTCATATTTATATGCAGGAGTCCAAGTCCAGATAGGTAATTAAGTATATTTTGCTATCATACTATAAGTTTATTTTTATTTTTTAGATTATTTTAATTGGTAAAGTCTTCAGAAGGATTTGATAGATGGTGTGAACTGGCTTTTATATATTTTGGAACTTATTCTTCCCTCAATAATAATAATAAAATGAACATGTAATTATTGGGAAATACTATGGTTCCGTTACGAAACCATTTCATCGGGTTTGTAAATGTTAGATCAACTATCCATGACGGTTACATGATGATCTAACGGTTTCAAACCCCGACGGAATAGTTCTATAACGAGACTATAATTAATTAGTATTATGCCCGCCGGTAACATTGGGCAATACTTAAATAGCTATAATATCATTTGTCTTCTAGGATATCTATCACTATTTATCACATTTAATTCCACTATGCAAATTTGATAAATGTTGTGTTATTTATTGCTAGAGTAAGTATTTGTCTTTCGAAAAATAACAATAAACAACACGAACGGACGATCAACCAACGAAAATGAACCACTAACACGATCTTTGAATAAACTCAAACAAAAAATTTGAATAAATAAATTAAGTCGATGCACGTAAAACACGCTCTCTGTAAGATGAAATTGCCACTGACTAATGCCCACGATTTTCAACAAACATCTTTAAGATAGATATTTATATATATGTTAATTTCTTATCCAGATGAAATTGCCACTGACTAATGCCCACGATTTTCAACAAACATCTTCAAGATAGATATTTATATATATGTTAATTTCTTATCCAAATAATAATTGTCTTTTGTCTATATGAATTGATATATTATTACTTATAAATTTATTTAATAACACCATTTTTAAATACTTACAAATTTCTACGCAGCAAAACTAATATATATGTTGAGTTCATGGAAAAATAAATAAAATAGCCGTTGTTAATGGCCGGTAGCGTATGAAAACATACAAAAGCAAACCCTTATTCAAAGCTGTCTTATTAAGAATTTGATCTTAGATGTTGAATTCTATGAAAGATTTATTGGAAAAAAAAAATATAAAAAAAAATGTTTACCAACAAATTTGGCTGTTTTCTAAATGTCTACTATAATAATAAATACAATATATTTGGGTAACAACCCGTTAGGACGTCCACTAATATAATATTATAAAGATTCCATATTTATTGGGCAGATGGCCGTATCTTTTGATGACTCAATTTTAGAGTAAATAAACACAATTGGGCCACATGTACGAGTTTTATATATATATAATTGAATAATTGTGTGTACACATATTGTATTATAAAATATATTATAATATATGTGTACTATTGTATTGACTCTCCGTCCAAATAGTGATCATCTCAAGATTCAAGATTTATTGCATCTTCCAAGTTTCTTTGAGGTTATTGCAATAATATGTCACCAAAATTTAATCAAACCACCCATATAATTCTGATGTGGAGTTGAACATTGACTTTTTATCGAGTTATGTTCGGTCTTTTTACTACTGGTCGAGTTCATACTCAAAAAGCTAAGCATTTTAAGATTCGGTTCGACTCAACTAAAAAAAACACAAATATTTGGGATCGACATGCGATCAGCTCGAGTTCGATTGACTCAAATTTTGTTAGAGATCGTATCATATTTCAATAAAAGTTTCAATGTTCAAATAAGATTAAAGTTTTTTTGTCTAGCTCGAATTTTGTTAAATTTAGTCAGGGTTGTCAAAATCTCGAACTTATAGAGTGAGTTCAATTTTGATTCTAATTGCATATGACCTAATTAAGTTTTGTTATCTAGTAAAGATTTTATTTGGACCATTGGAACTACATAAAGATTTTATTTGGACAATTGGAACTACACGGTTTTGCTATGAAGTCAACAGTTGATTTTATACTGTAGCCAACCTTCTATATACAACAAGTAAACCATACCATATTATCTGATTACTTAAATAACACTAATAATTTTATTAATATGGTATGATTTACTTGTTGTATAAAGAATATTGGCTCAACTATGGAGCCAACTGTTGACTTTATAACAAAACGTGGAACTACATTGCAATTAATCTAGTTGGTCTTATAACATTAACTCGATATTATAACCTACAAATAAAACTAATCACATAATTAATCTTACTAAATAAGTTGTATATTGCGTGTTGATGGAACATAAAAGTGAGATTTGTTACTCAATAGGCACATAACGACATAAATTAAGAATTTATTATCAGACATGGCCAGCTTGTATTGGCAGTCGATATATCAACTACATGGTCCCAATTTAAAAAATATTTATAGATCTAACAATTATAAGCTTATAAAGCATGACAATCACCCTTATATATAATTCCCGAATATGGTCCCAATTTAAAAAATATTTATAGATCTAACAATTATAAGCTTATAAAGCATGACAATCACCCTTATATATAATTCCCGAATGTGTTGAACCTAAATAACAGGCTCGCATGTTTCAGGATCCTATGTGTCAAAATTTCATGCTTTGTCATTTGAGTTGGATAAATAATAATTTAATTCAAATCCAAAAATAATTAGGTTCGGATTACCGTAAATATGTTGATTTATTTATGATCATTTTAGATGTATTAAATGTATTTTAATATCATTTCCTATATAACTATTGAATTGTAAATCTATGAATATATAATAAGGATTAACATAATTCACTTTTAGAAATACTTTCCCGCCAATTTCATTAATTATTGCCTAAACATAGTAAATTAACAAAATCGCTATTTATTAACACTAGTGCATACCCCGTGCGATGCACATGATACATATAATAAATCAATTATTTCTATAGGATTTGTACGTCTAGACAAAAAAACAATAGGTTTGGATTATCCATATTTCACATCTTTTAACATAAATTATTTAAGGAAAAAATCTTTATAATTATATCTGGAAGTAAATGTAAATATGCAAGCATTTAATGTATACTAGTATGTAACCCGTGCGATGCACGGCTAGTACATGTTTTGGAAAAAATTAAAAAATTAAAAGGTCATTTATTAATAAGTTGTTATAACACGTATGACATTTATAAACTGAACATAAAATCGTCATTGACAAAAAATTATGCATTATTAAAAACCTCCTGAGTTCATATATATCGCCTTGCTTAAATACACCTCGAAATGCACACATATACGCAGAATGTATAATGGCATTTATTTGCGCACCCTACAATATGAAGTTATACAAAATAAGTTAAATTAAAAGATTACGTATATTAGTAATACAGATATAACAAATCAAAATATTACCTCACGATCTTGAAATATGATCTCAAAAAAATTATTGGATTCCACATCAAATTTCATCTCAATAATTAGAATTTCTTATTAACTGCATGGAGTGTATCAAATAACTCTCTCATTTTTTTAATATTTTCTAAAAGTTCTATGCGTTTTTTTTTTTATGGACAGGAATTGGAGAAGTTGATAAAAAATGTTATTTATATATATAGGAATCAATTAATATATATTAATTTCAATTAATTTAATTATTGAGAGTGGCTTTTAATTACAAACTTATTGAAAGGGAATAAAAATTGGATGGTGTAGGATTTTGGGTATTTTATAGGAATGTAAATACTAATCTTTACGTCCAACTTTAATTAATTGATGAATTGAAATATTAATATTTATTTTTTTGTTGGTAGACTCAAAAAAAAATTACATAATATGCGGCCACAAAATGTATCTTATGGATTTGTACATTTGTATTTTATCGTGTAGAAGATATAAAATTATTTTTGTATTAAATCTGCAAAAGTATAAAACGTGTTGAATAAAGCAAAAACACATATATGCATTTGGTTCGTATTGATATAATTTCCTTTTACTGTACGTATTAGTATTTTTTTTGATTTAATTTCCGATACTTGAACGAATTAGTATTGTTTTTTGATTTAATTTTCCGACATGAAAGATATGATTTCCGTTTTACAATCATCGGCAATTTATAGAGTTTTTTAAATATATTTTTTATACTAAGATTATATATATATATATATATATA